GCCGACTAGAAGCCTCCCAACAAAAAGCACGGCCGCAGGTTTTAGGGTTTAAGGTTTGTAGGGTTTTAGGGTCTTGGGGGTGTATCGGGTTTCGGGTTTACGGCTGTATTGAGTTTGGAGTTTGGGATTTAAGGGCTTTGTGACTTGGGGTTTTACAGCGACGCATGTGTGAAACCCTTGCCAGTTTTCTGGTTTAGGAAGGCGCCTTAGCACAACCCTGTGGTCATAAACCTCAGGCCCAAAGCACCAAACCCTGTAAGACCTACAAACCCAAACCCCAAACCCAAGAAGCCCTACAAACCCTAAACCTTAAACCCTTTCAGTAGGTGCGAACTGCGTGAAGTGTGGATTCGGGCCTGAATATAAGCCTTTCAAGGACAAGAAGGTCAAAACACAAGGGCGGACGCTGGTTAGACATCACCCCGTCAAAGTAATGCGCACTCAAATATCTCACAGAAATAACAAAAATTTGGGCACAGAGGAACACTCCAGCATGTAATCGTGCCATCCTACAAAGGTGTCGGTTTCAGGCTGTGTGCTTGTTGATTGCCGGCTTACCCGTGCATCTAGAAGAGAGTCCGGCACAACAGAGGGAGGTACACTGCGATATGCAATTGCATTCTGGAGGTTTCAGTGAATAGAAGCGGATCATACTCTTGTGAGGCAGCGACGGAAGCTCCGCGCTGCAGCCACCACTATTGCTCCATCAAGTGCCTTCAATCGGAGACTCTGCGGCCTCTTAGACTGCGCGTCCTGTGCTAATTCGGGGTTCGTTTATTGTGTGCGGATCGTGACGTTACTCGCCCGGTGCTTTCCATTCCCGATCCTAAGTTTTTCGACGCGTGCAGTCACCTTTTCAGGCGATGCAACTTTGCTTAGGTATGAAGACATGAAACAAGTGGGCCGCAGTAGTCAACAACTTCGCTCACGATCTTCCATTTCCGAAGTTGCGACGGCAGCATCAGAGCGAATGCTTGCCTCAGGCACTATGGTGCTAAGTCCAGTCATGCTGAGGGTACGCTATAGACTGGGGATCTTTTGGTACTAGGGGTACTAGTGCGTGAGTTTCGGCCTCCGTCGTTTCGCAGTCGCAACCGGCATTGAAGACACGAGCCGAGCCTGGCGTCCGTACTTCCATCCACGGTGTCGTACGAGAGACAACCCGGCGGCGCTCATCGGACCCTCTCTTTCTTTCTTTCACCAGGCTGGGAGGCGAACCCCCGCCCTTGGGGGCCGCCCACTGTTGGCGGTACGCACGGCATTACGTGCGGTAGGCTAGAGTTACGACACCCCGGTTGTTGTAAAGCAGAGTGCTAAGGCTGGAATGTAAACACTGTGCTCAGGTGTGTTCGTAACTGGCGAGTCGCCCTGGGCAGGTATTCTGCTTTGCGGTGGCCCCCAAACGATCAGCAGGACCCCGATGCCTCAAACCTACACTACCATTGTTCTCTCTTGGGGGTGCACAGCAGCAGGCTGAACTCGCTGAAAACATCTACATGGCTCAACATGGGGGCCGTTCGGTCGCTGCAATTGGGCTTTGGGCATCAGCTATCGTTCGCAGGTGGTGCTATGTGTTTGGCGGGTCCCCACTAGTGAGTCTCTGTACGGTTTTCTGTGGATCATTCGCCCCGGTAATGACGATGAAAAACACTCGGCCTAAGGGTCTTGTGCAGCATCACAAGATGGGCGAGATCCCTAGTATAGTGCACCGTGGTACTCCTCAGACTTGTCGCCCCGGGAAGTAAAGCAACAGCGTGTGGCCTGGTAAACAACTGTGCACGATCACACTATGGGCGAGGTCCTTGGTGGTGTACATAGCAGGCACTTTTGAAAAGGCAACATAGCAGTACAGTGAGTCTTGACTCTACATTCTGAGTGCCGTCGCCCCTGGGGACTGGAACAACACACGGTACCTTTGGCCTGAGAGTCTTGTGCATCATCATAGGACGGGCGAGGCCCCCATTAGAGGTACTAGCAGTCTCAACTCTACACTCTGAGTGCCGACGCCCCTGGGTGCAGTAACAAGTGGTGTCTGAGGAAGCCTATGTAAATCACAAGACTGGGGTCACGGCATTAGGTATGTTCGCCCCGGGACCGGTGGCAGGTTAGTCGCTACTGTCGGATTCAGGTGAGCTTGCCGGCGTTGGTTTATCAGTAGGGCTCGAAGTCAAGCGGCGCCGCCCCGTTGGCAGTGCATAGTCCGCCATGGCTTCAAGTTCGTCTTCTTCTCTGGCTGCTCCGGCTTGCGTTGCGGACCCTGCCACTTGTTGTGCTTCCATCTCCTGGTACGTGACCGCCCCGAAGTCTTGTGTATGAGTCTCCACTTCTTGCCATTGGGCTGCCAGTAACAGCGTGGCTTGGTCGTCACTGTCATCGTGAGCTTGCTCCTGGGCCTTTTCTCTCTCTCTCTCTCTCTCTCTCTCTCTCTCTCTCTCTCTCTCTCTCTCTATCTCTCACTCACTGGTCACATGCAGATATCCTGACAACTGTAAGCACCCCCTGTGACAGGCAACTCAGTTAGAAGTGCAGTTTGCAGGGCCCGAACCTGATCGCGAGCAGTGAAGGCGGCGGTTCTTCAGGCAACAATCAGTTGCACCTGCTGCTCTTCCTGACGGATTTGGCATGCATAGGGTCCCCAAAAGCTACAAAAACAGAAGCATCTAACAACTAAGTATACTCATTCGGGCCTCCGTTCAAAGGCCTGGCCGTTGTGAACAATTGAGATACAGTGACATTACAGGGCATTACATGACATAACATGTTTCAGCATAGCAGCACATAACATGGCATGGTCCAGCATGGCTAACCCGACACACGAGCACGGCACATCCAATTGGCAGAATATGTTGTAGAAACATTTGGCGTGATACAACATACACCGACAGAAACTCATCCGCCAAAAGCACCGAATATCAGGCCAAGAAAAGCCGACAAGGCATGATCTGACAATTGTTGCGGCACAATGGCCATGATGTACAATTGCTACACTTTGGCAGATTTGGCAGTTGTAACTGCCGAAGCTGACGAGTTTACGATAGTCCGAAGTTGGCCCGCATAACGGAATATCCACAGACGATACACAGAACATCAGAACGGAAACAGCACCCAAGGTACAGAGTAGCCAATGTTGCGGCACGTTGTGCTACAATGCCTGATGATGTACGTTTGGCTTTGTTAGCAGTTGAAACTGCTGAAGCTGATTGGTGAAGCTTATGGGTGTGTTATGGTCCCTCCCATGCTGCTGCGAGTTCTGATCAACTTTTCGTCGCAGTGAAAGATGGTGAGCAACGTATTCCCCATGTCGCGAAGCCATCCCACAAAACCTTGAGTGCGAGCGCCTCGCAATGGTGGCTACAAGAAAGGATGGAACTGGAAATGGCGACCACGATGGTAATGATGATTTGTAATGCCAATGGTGATGTTGATGCAGGATGGTTGGCCACCGTGTCCGTGACGATGATGGTGGCCACGGTGGTGATTCCGATCGCGATGATGCTGGTGATGCTGATAATGCTGATAATGCTGATAATGCTGATGATGATGATGATGATGATGATGATGGAGAAAGATGAAGAACAGCTTGACGACAACGAACACGACCACGACTCTTGTGATCGGTGAAACAACAACGCCAAAGAAACCTTAGGGACGTTTTGCTCAGCAAAAGCAGCACGGATGCAGAGAACTGAGCTGCCAGCGGATCCGTGACGAAGCCCCACCAGCCGCCAAGCGAACAACAAGGCTTATATACCACAGGACCAGCAGCACCGCAGCTATGATTACGTTCAGTTTTCTCACATACCTCGTGGTTGACTGCGCTTATCTCGGAAGATCGATATGCACTGGACAGAAAACTCAAGGAGAACAAAGGTCTCAGTGCGACACGATGACATCAAGCACAGTTGATTTTTGCAGAGATGAACTAACTGAGAACTCTGGCTTGAGCTGCAGGCGGCGAGGTCAAAGCAACGCAGACTTCTGGCACAACTCGTGCGCCGGCAGAGCCCAGCATCCTCCTTCACTTCTACGATTGGCCTCACTTTGGGCAACAACAATATGCAGGATTCTGCTGACAGCAACATGTCTACCAAGCTATACCTCGACTCAGCACCACGTAAGGACACGAGAGAAAGAGGGTGTGGGAGAGAGAGAGAGAGAGACGGAAAGAGCCAGAGAGGGTAGATCGACATAACATAGTTGCTTACGCCCAGAAGTTAGGTACTGAGATCCTTACTTATGACTACACGTAGAGCTTCAAGTAATTAGCCACACTGAGAAATTCAGCAGCAGAAAAGAAGCTCCATTGCATTGACGGGTAGTAAGTGTGTTCTGTAGAGAGAGCTTCCTGGAAGGTGCTTGTAGCTCAAGTCTAAATTCGTAGACAGCTCCCGTGATACTTCACATGCTTTCTCCCCAAAGCCCAATGCCCTACCCAACGCTCGCACGAGGAGGTGACCTTGATCTGCTGCTTCGGGAAGTGCAGAACTCTTAGTTTTGAAGGGATCTTCTTCATTTTTCGGCATGGGGCATGATCGATGAGAAAGCCTGGAGGAGTATCAGGCTGGCGCGATCCTTGGCACACTCTTCTCGGACAGCCGCTCCGCGGCGCCCTCGGGATGGATACGATCCGCTGCTGCCCGCAGCAGCATCCTTCTACCGCTTGTCCACAAGACACAAGCCGTTGCCTCTATCTCTCTTATGAACAGTAACTAGGAGTAATTAGCATCTATTCGTGTCTTGATTTCTTGCTTGGCTCTGAACCTCAGTCGTAGTACTCACAGGTTTTGTGGCCCTCTAGATTTCGAGTCTCCGGGGTAGCTTGTGCTGTCTCTGCAAAAACAAACTTCGGCACAGGCTACTCGGTATCGCAATCGAGGTTACCATGACCGAGAAGGATATGTTTGCACAGTGCAGACTCTTTGGCGAAAGTGATGGTGACACCTGGAAGGCAGTCAATTTGCGCCTTCGCATTCAACAGGAGCTGTTTCTCGGGCCGTCGTTTAGCAACAGATCCCGGCCAGACACCTAAGGAAGCGGCTCAGGGTGGTTGCAGCGACGCACCGCACGTTCCCGGATCCAGTCATCACCTCAGGCCAGTGAGAAAAAGGCATCTGAAACCAAAATCACAGAAGTGAGATTACCGCCGGCTCACGGAGGACTAAGAGGGCAGCCCCCTCGTGCAGAGGCATATCCATGTCCTAGAGGGATTGATTGTTCCATTTATCACCTGGCTGTTTGGGCTTTGGCATTTGTTTGCGTAGGCTGTGAGGCTGAGCATTTGGCTTCGGGGTCCGGTACGCATGCTCTGCGGCGATGTCGAGGGTTGGACGGAAGTCGAGTCTCTGTTGCACGGCCCTGCTGCGATGTCGTTTCTGTACGTCCGGCCGGACGACCAAAGCCATGCAGCGAAACAAGCAGTGTGCGGTTGCAGTCCTCTTCGTTCGTGGGCCGGGTATATGTCAAGTGCAGAACCTAGGCGGTCGAATGCCTTTCACATCCGCCATGCGTACGTCTGACATGGGTGGCCAGTACTCCTTCACCCACCTGCTGGACTTCACGGGTAACGATCTGAACTTGGTAGCGCCGTCCTGCAGGATGGACACACACTTCAAGGTTCTCGACACTCGAATCGCAGAGACTTGACGAATCAGTCATGCATGCCAACAATGCATTCAATTCGAAGTCCTTGGAGACATGGCATCAGCGGCTGAAGGACGAGCTCCTGCATTGGGCAGCATCCCAGCGGCAGCTCATAGTGGCGAAAAGGATGTTGTTGCAGCTGTTGCTGCTGCCATGAATCGCGATCATCTGGATGACTGTGGATGAAATAAGGGTGCTTGTGGGCACACCAACTAACAGTAGCAAGCAACTGATGGTTGTTTCTATTACATGCACAGTCATCCCGGCACGGAGTGCCTCAAACTTCAACGGGCCTTGGAGCCTGGAAAGCGCCTAAGTCTCGCCCTCTGCAATCCTGTGCAACGTCGGCCACAGCGCGAGGCATGGCCGTACCCTGCAGCATCTCCCTGCAGGGGATGCAATAGAGCAACGTGCAAAGCGGATTCCCAACTGTCTCGTCGCCCAACCTAGTGAGATGCAGCTTCACAAGGCAAAGACGATGTGTAGGCCCACGGCAGAGACGGCAGAGACTGCCGCGCGTTGAGATGGATGCGGATGTCCTGTGCTGGCTACGGCCGTGCACAGGCTGAGAGTTTTTTGCAGCAGCTCGTGCGAGAGCCGGCTTCCTGCAGCATCGGGACGCGCCTGCGGGGATATATCATCCAGCTTTATGAGATTACGGAAGGAACACAGAATGCAGGGGATTCGCATATCACAAGCGCACCGCATGCTGTCGAGTTTGGGATGGGTATCTGGGGTGGACGGCTTACCGTAGCCGTCATACGGACAGAAGGCAGTCTGTACCGGTTCAACACATGCTGCTGGGTTTACACCGCATGACCGACCAAGCATCTTCAGGTTGGGGTGGTCTTTGGCTCATTAGCTCAGGAACGTGCTGGACGCATGTTGCCGCGAAGCCTCAACCCAAGACCTGTGGGACTGGTCCGTGGCAGTCGTCTGCTTGAGACGATGGCCAGGAGGCACAGGCAAAGCAGAAACCTAATCGGAAGCGATGCCTGGCTTATTCAGCCTTGGAAACCCCTTGAAATGAAGACGAAAGGGAGGAAATCTTAGCCGATGTTATGCAAGCTTAGTACACTCATTGAAGAGCTAACCTCGTGAATGTCTATGGACTTACATAGAAATTCGATGGCTTATCTAGGATTGCCCACTAAACAGTTCTTTAATTACATGAGATTTTTTGAGATCCCATGAGAACTTATGACATTCTAATTGGTATGGCACGAGATTTTGTCCGACCACGCGACATGCTGGACGAAGCAACGACACTCTCCCGCCTCAGCGGTGCCAAGCAAACCTGTACCTGAAAGGAACAAAAACGGCTACAGCAAGCAGATAGATCTTCCAACTTCACTTGCAACCTTTGGATGACCGAAGCTGAGGTTTGGAGCATAAAAACCGTACCTCCTGGTGAGTTCAGTTCAACATGCTAAACCATCGTCGGTATATCTCACACCACCACAATGCTGTCCAAATCTGCATTGGATTGAGACTTACAAATTCGTTGCAAATATGTCTGATAAAGAAGCCAACGTGTCCAACTAGCACCCTCAAGTCTCCTACATTGAGACTTACAGATCACCGCAAAAAAATATGCCAAAGAAAAACTTGTCCAACTAGCAGCCTCCAGTTTCCAAGATTGACACTGACACCCACCTTCAAACATGTATGCTAGAGAAACCAGCCTATCCAACTAGCACCCTCAAGTCTCCCAGCTTGGGACTTACAACTCACCACAAACATGAATGCTAAAGTACATAGTGTGTCCAACTAGCACCCTCAAGTTTCCTAGGTTGAAACTTACAAATTCCCACTAACATATATGCTAGAGAAACCAGCGTGTCCAACTAGCACCCTCAAGTCTCCTAGATTGGGACTTGCACTGGTAGATTGAGGCTTACAAATCGCCTTCAGAAATGTATGCTAAAGAAAAGAGCGTGTCCAACTAGCACTCTCAAAAAGTTCCTAGATTGAGACTTACCAATCGCCTACAAAAATGCACGCTAAAGAAAAACAGCGTGTCCAACTAGCACCCTCCATTCTGCTAGGTTGAAGCTTGCAATCCGCCACGAAAAAAGCGAAAGTAAATAGTGTGTCCAGGTAGCACCCTCAAGTTTGCTAGATTGAAAGTTACATCGCAGCAACTTATCATTCCAAGGCTGGCCTCGAGGTTTGGACGGGAAAAGGATGACAGTTGGCGCCCTCTGTCCTGCAATCGTGGACAGACTGCTGAAGCTCTATGCTAAGCAGAGTCCTTAGGCGCCAAGGCGCGCACCTGATCCTGCTACTACTCGTATTGTTTCTTCTCCCACGACGACGACTACTACTACTACTACTACTACTACCACGACAACTACTACTACTACTACTACTACTACTACTACTACTACTACTACTACTACTACTGCCAGCTTGCAATGGTAACGCAATCGTGTCCCCAAGCACCGTCGCGCTAAGTTGCTCACAGCCACCAGCTTGCGATGGTAACGTAATCATGTCCCCAAGCATCGTCGCGAAGTCAAGTTGCTCACAGCCACCAGCTTGCGATGGTAACGTAATCGTGTCCCCAGGCACCGTCGCGAAGTCAAGTTGCTCACAGGCCTCGGCTTGCGATGGTAACGTAATCGTGTCCCCACGCACAGTCGCTAACTTGCTCCCAGCCACCAGCTTGCGATGGTAACGTAGTCGTGTCCCCAAGCATCGCCGCGAAGTGGCTCACAGCCACCAGCTCGCGACGGTAACGTAATCGTGTCCCCAAGTACCGTTTCTAAGTTCCTCACAGCCGCCAGGTTGCGATGGTAACGTGCTCGTGTCCCCAAGCACCGTCGCTAAGCTGCTCGCAGCCACCAGCTTGCGATGGTAACGTAATCGTGTCCCCAAGCACCGTCGTTAAGTTGCTCACAGCCACCAGCTCGCGATAGTAACGTAATCCTGTCCCCAAGCACCTCCACGACGACGACGAGGAGGACGACGACGACTACTACTACTACGAGGATGGTTGCACAAATCTGTACCCACTCAGCCACTCAGCAAAAGAAACTCGAGCAAAACAAAGATTCTCACAACATTAGTATTCCAGTCATACAACTCTGCCACAACAAGAGAAATAACCGAGATCTCAAAGCTGAGGCAATTCAACAGACCAGTAGTTTTGGAAATGAACAAGTCGTGCGCCTTTTTGTGCTGTTTCTGTTGACGGTTACTCCGAGGGCCGCAGGCTGAATCATGGGCATCCGAGCAGAATGGTGGTGCCTTGTGGACAACGGTTGGATGAACGGCAGTCTTGCATTTGCGGCAAGACCAACATGTCCCAAGCTTCACCTACATACGCGACTACAAGACAAGCTAAAGTTCCACTGGCGAATCCAGAAAGACAGAATCATCAAATGCACTGCTCCAATGAACCTCTCTTTCAGCCGGAATGAAACCGTGCAACATTTTGAGCTGTTGCTTTATTGCCCTCACATCGCTGGACTCCTGCGCAGGAATGCTCGCCAGCTCTCTCCCGACGGAATCCTGTTGGCAGCGTTCGATGGAAAACTGAATGACGCAGTTTGCTGAAGTTGCGCAAGACGCCCGATCCCTACAACAGCTCCGGTCACCCAACTAGATCCGCAGCCTACCTTTATGCATGGCGGTGCACACGCTTACGTGAAGCAGAAACTGAGATGATGGCAGGCGTTGATGCTGGGTGATCAGCATGATGAGCGGAAGACGCCTGCTAGGGCGTGGATTGTTGCACCCTTTACCGGGCAAAGGCATCGCTTTGCGCCCTCAGCTCCGAACCCGAGCAAAAGAATCTAAGCGACATCTGGTGCCAAATATGCAGCCTCCTGAATGCAAGCCCCAAGTCAGAAACCCGGTTGCCTAAACCTGAAAACTTTGCCTTTGCGGTGGGTGGAAACACAGGAGCCTGAGTCGAGCAGAACGAAATGCCACACCCAAGAACTGCATTGTTCTGGGGCAAAAGCGCTTCCGCGGCTGCGCTCCTGGATCCACTATGAGGTTTGGTGGTTGTTGGAGGGATTTCACGTTACGGAAACGCAGCCGGCATCCTTCCAGGTCTCGAGGAGCTGTGCAAAGGAGCCTGAGCCACGAACTCTCTCGAAGGTTCTGAATATACTTTATATATATATATATATATACATTCATAATTATGTACGTACGTACATGCTTACTGGGAGCTGGTACCTTAAAACTAGGATCAACAGCAATAGCAACAACAAAAGAAATGATTTCACCGATGACAACCGCTATGAAAATATAATTGTGATGAAGATGAGGGTATTGACACTCTTACTACTGCTAATACGAGAACTAAGACTAAAAATGATACTGAGTAGAATGGAATACAACTGATACTAGTACTACTCCTAATGCTAATGCAACCCTAATCCTGCCGCTGATAATGAATATGATACTAATACTAGTAATAGCAGGACTAACAATAACGACAGTATTAACTATTCTTGGCGTTTGATTTATTGTTGACATTACCGTGGCAAAAAAAGCAAAATGTGACACGAAACAGAATAATGCCAACGAAGCTAACAATAACAACAGCAGCGAAAAGAAGCGCATATTTATCAAGTGGTCGGTATTGCTTTAATAATATAGTCACAAGCATCATAAGAGTAAGAAAATCATGGCAATCGGTTTTCACGAAAGATGACGCGCTAAACGAAAATTATTCTTGGCCTTGAAGCTTGTTCTTTCCCTAATGGCTCTACTAGAGGTGATGACCTCCGAAGCCAAAGATCTTGCCAGTGACTTCACATGCATGCAGTATGCACACAAGATGGACTCCGGAGTTCGGCACAGCATCAAAATAAGCAGTTCGTCACCGACTCCCATTACATGCTGCTTGAGGGACTGCTTCCTTTCTGGGCTCCCGCAGAGTCTTCGAAGTCCATGCTCAACGAACCGCCCCATGATGATGAAGATGATGACGATGATGTTTTGATGGAGACCGCAGCAGCACCGGCGCAACGCAGCCAGGAGCGCGCAGGTCTGAGCCCCGACACTACTCGCGAGAAGAGAATGTACCTGGGCCAAAATCGGGGCTCACTGCGAGGCTGCAAAGTCTTTGAGACCCCGACTCGGCATGATGACGACAAAGAGGCAGAAAGTCAGCTTGAGCTTGAAAACGGCTGGGTCTACTGCCGAGGGTTCAAGGTAAAGGGTTACTGCTTGCGACTCGCGGCTTCGGTTTTCCGGCTGCCTTAGGCAACTGCTCAGAAACGGATTCACACTTACTGCAACTTAATGGCATGGGACTTGCAGACGGACAGTCGGCTGCAACGAACTCTGGCGGGCTTGAGGGCTTTAGAGACTTCAGGGCTTCACGGGCTTTCGACTCGCACACTCGCACAAAGGGGCTTGGGGTGCTTTGGGGGCTTGCAGGCCTATTTTGGGCTGTCGGGGTTTGTGGATGTAAGGACTTCAGGATTCAACGAGGGTGTAGGGCCCACGAATTTAAGTCGGGAGGGTTCGGCTGTAAGTTCTGAGGTTGAAGGTCCAGGCGTAGTGTTTAGGACTCTCGGCTTTTGCGGCTGGGGTGCCCTTTCTAAATGGGTTTGAGAGCTTGTACTGTTTCTCTGTTCGGGTTCAGGAAGCATAGACTGTCTGGAGTTTGGGGCTTCGCGGCTAGGGGTTCCGGGTTTTCGGGCTTGGGTCAGATAATTCTGCGCACTGGGGCTTTACAGAGACCGCTGCGGCATCCGCGGCATCCCCAAAACTGACATGGCCTTATCGGTGTCGGATCCCCCAAGATTGGCAAGCTTTCCGGCGAGTATATTTTTGTTGGAAACACCGGTCCTGAAGTTCTGAACTAATTATATGGACTAAAGTACAGTGTGGGGCATCTGGGAAGTGAGAAACGACAGCTGCGAAGTAGCGATTTGGCCTTGAACACTCTGACAGCCGACACTGGGGAACTTGGGGTGCATGTTGAACTGCTGAACCTGAAGTAGTGCTGAACTCATAAACCCTACAAGCGGGCTAAAAGTCAAGGTATTGGAGCTTTTATTATAGGGTGTTTGGAGTTTGGATTTGCAGCAAAGGAGCAGCGAACACTCCGAACGGCCCACGACTTCTTCACCACACACCAGCAGTACTGCAACCGCTGCTGGCACAGATGCGGGGTCGCTCTCACGGGGGTCGCTTCGGCCCTGCAACGAATTGAAAAATCCAGTAAAAGAACTGTTGCGGTTCCAGGTCTGGGTCTTAAAGCCTGGAATTTCTTGTTCGAAGGAAGTGTTTCGGAACTTTCGTCGTCGTAGGAGGAGGTCGTCGTACTTGTCGTAGGAAGTGGTATGGCATTGATGGCAGCAGTGGGAGAAGTTGTAAACATGGTGGTGGTGGTGGTGGTGGTGGTGGTGGTGGTGGTGGTGGTGGTGGTGGTGGTGGTCGTAGTAGTAGTGGTGGTGGTAGTAGCAGCAGCAGCAGTGGCAGTAGCAGCAGCAGTAGCAGTAGCAGTAGCAGTAGCAGTAGCAATCGCAGTCGCAGTCGCAGTCGCAGTCGCAGTCGCAGTCGCAGTGGCAGTGGCAGTAGCGGTGGCGGTGGCGGTAGCAGTAGCAGTAGCAGTAGCAGTAGCAGTAGCAGTAGCAGTAGCAGTAGCAGTAGGAGTAGGAGTAGGAGTAGGACTAGGACTAGGAGTAGGAGTAGGAGTAGGAGTGGCAGTAGCAGTAGCAGTAGTAGTAGTAGTAGTAGTAGTAGTAGTAGTAGTAGTAGTAGTAGCAATAGCAGTAGCAGTAGTAGCAATAGCAGTAGCAGTAGTAGCAGTAGTAGCAGTAGTAGCAGTAGTAGCAGTAGTATCAGTAGTAGCAGTAGTAGCAGTAGTAGCAGTAGTAGCAGTAGTAGCAGGAGCAGTAGTAGTAGTAGTAGTAGTAGTAGTAGTAGTAGTAGTAGTAGTAGTAGTAGTAGTGGTAGTAGTAGTGGTAGTAGCGGTAGTAGCGGTAGCAGTGGTAGTGGTGGTGGCAGTACTTGTGTACTGGTGGTACCCAAGTTCTGTCACCCTGTGTTGCCGCTTCTGTGGCCGATACAAGGAGGTCACAGCAGCCAGCATGCGTAGTAGTAGTAGTAGTAGTAGCAGTAGTAGTAGTAGTAGTTGTGGTTGTTGTAGTAGTACTAGCAGTAAGTAGTAGTACCCTAAAAACCGCCGCATTGTGTACAGTCGCGTAATTTCCAATGGAATCGTGTTCCCACGACCGCGCGTGAGCACATGAAAGCCTCGTGCTCTCTGTCTCAAGCAGCCTTAAGAGACTTCCAGGGCAAAGGCCGACAGCGCCACTGAAACGGTCATCAGGAAGGCCTCAGACGCTGGGCCAATGAGCATGCTGCATGCTCCGTCCTCAGCTCTCTTTGCTCTGTTTTTGCCGGGAAGGCTTCGCACACAGCGAGCAGCTTGTACTGCTTGTACACCTTTCTTTGATCTGTTGCCCTCTCTTGCCGTTTCTGTGGCAGATACAAAGGAGGTCACAGCAGCCTGCATGCGTAGTAGCGGCAGTAGTCGCAGCAGGAGCAACGACGTTTAGGACGACGACTGCTACGACAGCGTTTGAACAACACATGCTTCGTGGGGCACCACTGGCGCCACTCATCATGAAACCAAGAAGCAGTAGCCTCAACTCGCGGAGGCATCTCATGACCAGTTGACTTGACGACAACCTGGCCATCAGGCAGACAAGCCAGGAAGCAGACCGTGCAAGGCAAACAGCAGCCCTGTGCAAGGCGGTCCTTCCCGCTGCCCTTCTCCTTGAACCTAAGGTCCTGCGGAAGGAGCGCCCTTTACCCTAACCCCTAACCCGCACATCTCTTTTCAGCATGTCTGTGTCGTGTTTCAACCTACCACGTCGAGCCTCGTTGTCGGTGATCAAGGCAGCCAAAGCTTCGCGATCATCTGCCTGGTGCAGTCGTCCTAGGCTCCTAGGGTTGAGGGTGTTCCACGTGCTTGCTCCCGTCCTCGCCGGCCGTCGGCAAAGCTTGCTGCTGTCTTTGCTTTGGGGTATTAGGCTGTCTGTGGTGACCCGATGCCTTTGACCGGCAGCTTACACTTCGAAGAGCTGTTCGCAACCATCTCCTGAGGCGCTACTCAGGAGTTCTTCAAAGCAAGTTTGACAACGTCCTACAATCTTTGGCTGTGCTGGCGCAGTGGTGAGCCAGGCTCAAACAGCGAAATGGATGTAAGCCCGACTGGCAGCACCATGCATTCGTGTCAGCGGGGCCTCAACCTTGAACCTCAGGCCCTACATTCATCCTCAAGAAGGGATTGTCGGGGTTTGGGCTTTAGCCTTTATGGTTTGGGATTTAGTCTTAGGGTTTTGTGATGCTTGGGCGTTTACCAATTTGATGCGAAAGCTGACTTACCGCCTCCACATCCGACATGTCAGACTGCGTTTATGACGAAATTACGGTCTCAGGTACAAACATGCCGTTGAGTCAGGCGCGACGCTAGGAATGCTTAGTGTATTCATTCAGCGCAACGCCTGTTCTGCAAACGTGATGGTGTTATCATTATCCAAAAGGGCCCTGGATGTCCGACATCAGGACATGTATTACAACGTTCTGACAACTTATCAGACATGCGATGTGAGATTCGAGGCCGTGCATCCTGTTAGCAGACCTGCAAGCTCTGAGAAATCAAATCCCAGTTTCGCGTGCTGTAGGCTGTAGGCATTTATTGAACGTCATGATTCTTATCATCTGCAACCAGGACCGAGCACAAGCAGCGCCTCTGGGCATGACGGGTGCTCATCTCTGCACCCTGAGCGCCCTTCATTCACGGGAAAGGCAGCTCAACGGGCAGCTTTGCTGCTCTGAAACGTTCGCTGGCAGCGCGTTTCAGGCCGACTCAGGAGTAACGTCCTTTCCAGTCATAAAGTCTACGGCGGAGCAACACTTACGAAACGCTCGAAATGATAGGATGCTATATGCTTCCACTGCACCTTGCAATTAAGGAATTTTCGCGTAACTGAGCCTCACCTTTTTTCTGCCCTTGCCAGCACGATTGATTCGTTGGCGAGAGAGACATCGCCGCAGGTAGTTCATGGTAATTCGTGCCCTAAACCTGCAGCATCACCTTCAGCCCCGGGCTGATTGCCTCGGGTGATGGCCTGGAACCCAATGCGTGGGATTGGTTGATCAAGGACAGGTCCTATGCAAGCGATTTGATGTCGTTCGCATGAGATTTGCAAGCTCCCAATGCTCAAAGCTGCTTGGAGCACCCCAGCCAGTTTCAACAAAACCGGCACTCCGCATCATCAAGATACGTCACACAGATGTCAAGGCACAGGTCTGCGCGGAATGCAAAGGATGTTTTAAGGTTCAGGCTGCTCAGGGCACCTACATCAAGGAGCAAAGTCGAAACCTGTAGGAGCTGGAAGAGAAAGCATGTGCCACGGGAACCAGCCAACCCCAGCAACGCCCATTTCGCACGCACCGCACCGCAGTAAGGATGGCCCTGCCCTCCCCGCATTTCTCGCAAGGCTATTGGAGAACTACACTTGCTGCAACGCCGCCTCAATATCTGGCACTTTTTTCGCAAAGGGCACCAAAGGAGTTGCTTCCTTAGCATACTGCCTGCAGATTCGCTTGATTTTCATGTCGCAACTGCTCAACCATCCCACGCGGTTTGTCAACGGTAAAAACCCTTCCTGAGTCCAAAAGTTGTCTGAACCGGCCAATGCTTTCAACAGGACGTATTTGAAACCTTGTCGCGCCGCCATCTCATACATCCTTTCGGCAATTTCTGCACCAACTGCTAGCCCACAGCTTCCGCAGGACACCAGTTCGCAAATGCCTTCACCCAAACTCCGATACACCAATCCAGCCCACGATCGAATCGCGAAAACTGCCCAATTGCCTTCATGGTTCCACCTCATCCATGTTGGTGGGTCTGCTATGCCCATTCGGC